CTTTGTAGACTAAAGGCTGAAAGTAAAGTCTAGAAGTAATGTGGCCAGTTTGCAGTTAAACCTCAGTTATCTCTTGGGTGTCATTGCATTGTCATGGTATACAATACTTTTAGAATTGCTTTGGCATGTCCGTGGAGTTGCACCGGGGAAAATTTTTTCATGGAGACTTAGGAAATGTTTATATCCCAGTTTTTACTGAGTAGCACAGACATGAAACACAGTGTAAAGTACTCAACCTTTCAGACACCAATATCCAGTTCAGATAGACAGAATATTCAGTGAAGGTGAAACAGCATGCAAAAACATGAGCTGAGTATATTCCTTTAGACAAGACAAAAGAACCTAAAGTTGGTGTATGGTGAACTCTAATTTGTTCAGCTACATATAAGCATGAGAGCCTTTTGGCCAGAAGATTAGTGGTGCACGTCCTTCTAAACTATAAGCAGATGGTAACTTTTTCAGGATTTGTGAGGTTTTACATTGCAACCTTATGTTGTGATCTGTATTTTTATTTCTGTATTATCACAGAACCACAGAATGGTTGAGGTTGGAAGGGACCTCTGGGTGTCACCTGGTCCAACCCACCCTGCTCAAGCAGGGCCACCTAGAACTGGTTGCCCAGGATCGTGTCCAGATGGCTTTTGAATATCTCCAAGGTGGGAGGCTCCACAACCTCTTTGGGCAATCTGTGCCAGCACTTGGTCACCCTCACAGTAAAAAAGTGTTTCCTGATGTTCAGAGGGAACCTCCTGTGCTTCCGTTTGTGCCCATCGCCTCTTGTCCTGTCACAGGGCACCACTGAAAAGAGCTTGACTCCATCTTCTTTGCACCCTCCCTTCAGGTATATATATATATATATAAAAGATACGCCCTGAGCCTTTTCTTCTCTAGGCTAAACAGTCCCAGCTCTCTCAGCCTTTCCTCATATATCAGATGCTCCAGTCCCTTAATCATCTTTGTGGCCCTTTGCTGATCTCTCTCCGGTATGTCCACATTTCTCTTGTACTGGGGAAGTCAGAACTGGATCCAGCACTCCAGGTGTGGCCTCACCAGTGCTGAGCAGAGGGGAAGGATCATCTCTCTCAACCTGCTGGCAACGCTGTTCCTCATGCAGCCCAGGAGTTATTTGCACTCTTGTGTTGGACTGCCATATAAAAAGGTAGATAGGTTTATGCTGTGAAAATAGTCACAATGCAGACTCATAGCTAATATCCATTTAATTGTGCAGCTGCACATTTTTTACCTCAAGAATGAAGGTACATGCTTATTGACTCAGTAGGAGTTTATTTTAGCAGGACAGGGTAGTAATATGGTGCCTCCAACTCATCTTCATATATGTAGGCTAAGCACATTCTGGTCCTCCATTAGACATGAAAGCGGTTTTCCTCCATTCAGTGGGCACCTTCCAGAGGCAGTGGATAACAGTCTAGCTCCAAGGCCTGGAGAAGGAGTGGTCAAACAAGATGGACACCTGCAGATTCCCTGTAACATTTCCTTCCTCCCCTCTCCCTAAAAAATCAAAGAAGCAACAACCAACAAAAATAGGGAATTATGGAGAGACAACATCATCTGAGTCTTCTTGAGCCAATAGGGAAATTAAATGTCTTAGGTGCACTGTAAGTCTTTTCATTCCATCTTCTTCTCTACTCAAGTGTGTGTTTTGTAACAGCAATGGTGTTGGAGCCCTCAGAGCATGGATTTTGTAGCAAGCAAAGTCAGGGAGGGTTGAGAGGATCAAGGAACCACAGAAAAGGCAAGTGTATCCCATGGATAGCCCTTTCCTCCATTGGAATATCCCTCTTTCCTGAGATACACGCACACACCAATTTTAGGAGTTCTTTGAAGTCAGAGGACAGACTCACATCTTCTGCCACAAGAGACAAACCCAGCTCCATGCCTTTCCCAAGGGAAAAAAGAAGAAATTCTACAAAATCAGACTGTCAGAGTTTAACCAGTCTTACACAGATAATCATCACAGAGAGGAGAACATATCCCCAAGTAAGGACTTCTGGATTGAGCTTGCATAAATAAACCTCAGGGAGTGAGTGGGTGAGTGAGTCAAATGAAAGATACCAAGAACAAAGGTGAAATTTTACATTTCTGTGGCTGCTGAGTATGCTCCCAGTTCGGTGGTACTGGGAGAGCTGATGTCCACTTTAAGAATAGAATTAAAAAAAAAAATCAGCTTGAGGTGAAAGTTTTTACGTACTGGACTTGTAGTGCTGGCACATCATTACTAACGAGTAACTAGTGCCAAAATGTGAGACGAGATCTTCATACAGCTGCTGATTAAGCGGATCTACTTCCCCAATCATCCGTCCAATATTCCAATTGAACCTGCAGCCAAAATTCATGAGGCAAATTTCATTACATTAGTGGTGCCTAACCTGGAGTTGGCATTCTGTTGTACATGATGGTGGGATGGATAGGAGGCTGAAAGATGAATTAATAACACTTCATTATGATGAAATATCAAAGTATGTTGGAAGGTCACCTTGTGTTGTATAATTATATATTCAAAAGAATTTGAATTCTTGCTTCAGCCCTTAGTGAATCTGAGACAGCAGCAACGATGGGAAAAACCTCCCTTAAAAATCCCAAGAATCATACTTGTTTTGGCATGACACTGCCTAAGGTGATTTGCGAACAAGGCTGACTTTGCCAAGGTTTCACATTAGCGCAAGGTTCAGCATATATTTTAAAACATTAAATCAGCTTTTCATTTGCATGAATAGGATTATTTGATTGTGTAGATTTTGTTAGTTTAAAGGACCCCAATATTCCAATGCTGGAGCCAAAATTAAATACTAAAAGTAACTGTATGTTAATAATTTTAAGCAGTCATTCAAAAAAATATCTGAGGTTGTCATATTGGCTGACTTTGAAAGATATGGAGTGTGTCTGCTGCCACAAATGATACTAGAATTGTAGCTACTGACTATTTTGAAAATCAGGCTCAAAACTTACAGCAGAAGTAGATGCTCCTGAGTGAAGTTAAGCTTTGTTTTTTTGTAGAAGCCAGTATTGCTGGATACCTTAAAGCTTAAAAAAATACGGAAACCTTAAGTATGAGGTGAAACAGTCTTGTCAAAGAGGCTGCAGTTAGTAAATATCATGGTTATCTGGGAAGCAGCAAATACCATTATTTATGATTTATTCAGAATAAAATAAATAAAGCCCTTTATGGACAAGTAACAGGCTACCACGTTTTACCCCATCAGTTTCCATCTGATATCGTATGGTTTCAAATCGGACTTGATGAACTTGTTCTCTCAATGTCCCTGCACAAAGCAGTTTGCAGTGTAAGTTGATACAACATGACCTGAAAGGCAGCAAATATGAAGGAGACAAAATGCATGTTTAGTTCATCAAAGATGGTCAGCATGTCTTCCCATTATTGCTCTGCTCTTTTTCTTGGTGGCACAGGTTTCTGCAGAGATTATTATGTCTAACTGAGAAATGTCACAGTGCTCTGGGTCTACTTACCGTATTTGGTGTGGACCCACGAGATAGCAGTGACATGGAGCTCTATTGCCTATGTGAGGGTGTCAAGATGTAAAGCGCCATTTTTCAGAATTAACTCATGGTTAGCAAAAGGAGATCCAGATCCTACACCTGCTCCTGCATATGTGCAATGAGAGGGGAAGGACTATAGCTGAGTACTCCTTATTCTCCCAGTGTAGATGGGAGAGGTCTTCTCCTATGAAGAGCAACAGGGAAATGATGTCTTTGGCTATCACTGCTGTTAAGGACCTATATGAGACAGAAGAAAAGGAGTATGCAGACAGAGGCAGGAGAAGTGACGTTTCTCCATAACCAAAGGCTGCCTGTGAAAACATGGGAATATGCATTGTTTGTCAAGTCACCAGGTCTCAGTTGAACCGTTTTGGAAACTGTAACTGTAGGTTTACAGCATGCACTGTACTCCGAGAGCTGTGCTCCAGAAGAGAGGGACGGCCTGGCTACCAGTCAACCCAAGTTAGTATCTCAGTTTGCAACATGTCTGAATTGCGTTTCTTGGAGTAATCTACCATTTATTGCACCAAAATGGTATGCAACATCTGTGGCCTGATCTTCACAGGTGCCCTCATTCTTGGCTGGATCCTTAATCATCTGTCAGTAATCTGTTGGAATATCTTGGGAGTTTGGACATAAAATTGGGCTGTTGATCACACCTTACTGAATTCAACACAAAGATGGCAACACAGCCCTACAGCCATACAAATCTGAATTTCATATTTTACTTAGGCACTATGGGATGACGGTATTTTATAAATGATGAGTGAAAATATTTTAAATTGCACGTTGAAAAGAAAAAGTCTGTACCACTCTCTGAAAGTATTTTTAGTCGTTGTTTTTTCTGAAAGTCTTTGGACATTCAGACTATTAATTTGTTTCTTTCCTGAACATATCTTTATTTATGCAGCAGAAGTATTCCTCTCCTTCAAGGTAAATCCTGTATGGTTTCACAACCCATTCTTTACAGACCTTCATAAATCCATTGTCATTTATGTGACCTCTTAAACCTAGGAGCACATTTACAATATACAATATATAAGAAATTTAATTTTGAATTTATATCCATAATAATTCATCTCTAATTTTATTATGTTTTAATGAATTGCATGACATTCACTCCGTTTTTGTCTCTCTAAACGGCTATTTAAGTATGTTCTTTATAGTGAAAACTATTTTGTTAATGATATCATTCATAAGCTAGTATTAGTTGGGAGAGAGAAAGTTATTTCATTCATGTTAAAGAACACAAATTTTCAAAAGTAGCATGTTCAAAAATATGTTTCATCTGTCCCCTTTTTATCAGTTTTAGTAGAAACTTAAAAGGTACACTCACAGACTGGATAAAACATGGAGGCAGAAGAAGTGAGGTCTCAAAAAAAAATAACATGTTTTCACCTTACGTTGGCAGCTGTCAATCACAAATATACATTCACATTAATTAAAGCAAGTCACATCTTAAAAATGTTTCTTTATTCTTTCAGACCACTCTTCCGTGGAAATTCAGATGTTGATCAGCTAGGAAAAATCTTTGAGTAAGTAATAACTAGTTGCATTATGTCAATATCTGTTTAACATTGAAGCACTGTAAGGTTTCTTTGCCATGTTTTTATGCAATAATGTGACTAGAACAAAGTATTCCTAGAACATATTTCCTATTGCTACCGTATGCAACATGATATTTCCGTGTATTCTGTGTCAGAGTGGGAGGAGGAAGCAACACGGAATACAGTTCTGCAGAACTAACAGCCATCATCAGGAAGCCATGAGAGACTTCTGTTTTGGTCTTTTTAAATCTCTTAAAAATATTGGGCATGTACCATTCATGCATATTCCTAAACAGTTAGATCCAAGAGATTCTCTTCACGTAAGCAAACACAGAGGTTTTATTTTTCAGTAATTTCTTTCTGTGTTTCAGAAAACAACATTAGAATACTTTAAAATTGTTATGAAACTGAAATCTCTAAGATGATTACCAACAACTTCTTTGCAGAAAAGACTTCTGTTCATAAGAAAATATTTTAGCTTTTAAAATATACTGTGTAGCCTGTTAAAATGATTAACAGTCCATGTTTTGGTCAGGAAGGTAACTGTGAGAACAGAAGGAATATTTTAACATGTGCTTTGTCAGAGATGAACTAATTGGCTTTATTTTAAAACCGTTTTACAATTCTAGGAGTTTGTGGTTTTCTTCTTCAGATATATCAAATACGTTGAGGAGATGGGGAGGCTCTAAACTCTGAGGTAGAACAATTCCAAAAAATTAAGTTATTGATATTACCGATACGATAATTAAGTAGGATTATATCAATTTTTCTTGTAAAAGCTCTTCAGAGCAAGGAACGTTTCTGAATCTATAAGAACCATGTAAATTTAAGATCCGATGTATGTATCATGTAGTTAGGAAACAAAGGCCACATAGGGCTGGTCCCATTCCAGAGAATGAATGCCCATTTGCCTCTGCACCTCTGTCTTCCCTTTTCATATGGAGGGGCTGCAGGGATCCAGGGATCTGGAGGGGCTGCAGGGATCCAGGGATCTAGATGAAATAAGAAATAGATAGCAGAGAGAGAGAACGCTGAAATATTATTCTCTTGAAGATATTCCAAAGAGAAGATAGTAAAATTTCTAAGAAGAAGAGCTTAAACAGAACAAAAAATTAATTTCTCTGTTTAACCATTTTTCCAGTTCTCAAATTGTAACAGATCTGTTTCTAAGCATTTTCATTATTTAATATGAGGTTCCTAAATTGCAGGTCTTGATTTCACACAGTTAACTTCCCTTTCCTGCATACCATACCAGTGTATGTGACTCACTTGCGTGGTTAATTTGTCATGCGCTGAATAGCTCTTCCTGCCCAATCCAGAAAAATCAGTCCTTAAAGTTTACTTTTTCTTCTTCTGCCAAAGCTACTCCTTTAGTCCTACAATATTCTGCTTTATTAAATGAAGACAGTTTTGATACATACCACACATTTATAATTAAAAAAGACATAGCTATGATTTTTTTAAGGATTTTGATTCATTTGTGACATTTAAGGGGAAAAATCAAAATTAACTGGGCTAGGATTAAATGCATCTCTGCTAGCGGCAGCCTCCGACAGGGATCTTTCCATCCCTAGGGGCCGAGATTACCTGTGCAGAAAAGAATTCATCAAGAAGAGAAAATGCCGTGCTAATATTAGAAGAAATTCCTTATTACACATCTACTTAAAAAGAAAGTTTGGTTTTGCTTCCTTTGTGCAGTTCTCCTTAAATTGTTGAAAAGTTTCTTTCTTGGGTTCTGAGGGGATTATGCTAAATAGTGTTTATTTTGTGTTTTCACAGCTGGAGAACCCCCTACAGTTAGGCATAGGTCTTCTTGTAGGAGGATTGTTTCTTTCTACAGTAGTGAGTCATTCTGCAGACTAATTTGGACAGAAAGTAGTTTCAGGATTTTCGTACAATCTGAACGGATGCATTCTTTCAGATAATGGGGCTGTGTCTACCTTTGCTTTACATGCGCGTTCTGATTTGCGTCAGGTAAAATTCCACCGCGTTTGAGGGTAAATCCCTCAGAGGTGGCCCAAAATAATTTCTTGCTTTTCCAGGACACCATCAGCATGTGGGATATCCTCATAGATTTCAGGCTAAATGCAGTAATGGTTTGAGCAGACTTGTCTCCCATTGTGATCAATGGGAGTGGAAAGTACTCAACATTTCTCAAGACCAGGCCTGAACCTTTGGCAGGAGGTGAAACTAATCCAAGATACTCCCAAACTTAGTCACTGAAAGGGTAGTGCTACCAGACCAGAGTGAGGGCATCTACTCAGATATTCATTATTAAGAGTTCCGAGTACTACGTGAGTGTGTAACTAAAAATGTCTCTCCTTTCCACTCTTGGTCTTGTCCACCCTACCTGTCTGACAGGCTGCCTCCTTGTTTCTTTTTGTTAGCTTTGCCTGTGCCTGTGCTTATTCTGCCCTGTTCACGCTCTCTCATGCAAACATTAAAAAAACTGGGACTAACCAAACACATTTGAATGGCAGGTTAAACTTAATTGTTATTTAAAATATTTAACTCCCCCATCTTCCTGCAGTGCTATTTGTATTATATTTAATACGGCTCCAGATCCTCAAACAGCTAATCACATGGCTTTAACCACCGTGGCCAAGGGAGTTGCCTCATACCCTCACCGTTCCTGTGGTGATAAAAGTCAAATTCAATTTTTCATACAAATTTAACTTATCATTTCCCAAAAGCTGTGATACCTTAAGATGTAGTAAAATTAAATTGTCCTGATATTTTAATTGCTTTGCCCTTCTAGCCGTGCCGTTGTTTTGAGGACATATTAATTTTTGGAGGTATTTTAGGTGAGCCAAATTACAACCTAAAATCCGTGTAGGTAGATGTGGAGTAATTCCACTAAGTTTACTGAGGTAACCTATGATTTACATCAAAGTGTTTGGCCCATGGCCTCACCCAGTCTTACTACTAACTTCAGTAAGAAGAAAGGTCAATGCTGCTCCCTAGTGGCATTGGGCTTAGAGCAAACCCAAGCGTTCATTGACGTTTTTTCATGTCCCTTCTTGTCTTACCCTGTCAGCGTTTCCATTAAAATCTCGATTTTACAGTCTGTAAAAATTGATTTTTCCCTGAAACCTGACAAGTAATGTATGGTCTTTTCCAGAACTTCCATCAGAAACTGGCATTTCAGCCCCACAAATATTAGCATCAGACTAAAACATGATATGTATGAGACATGGTCCATCATTGGAGGTTTACCGGCTATTTAGTTTATTTGGGTTTTAAACCTTAGCATGATTATTTCATAAGTATAAATATCTTCTAGAATTTAAAGAATAAAGAAATGAATTATAAAAAGAAATCAAAATATTCTATTAAAGGGTAAAGAAAAACTAAAATACAGTTGAAAGTAAAAACATAAAGACAGTCAAGTCCTATGCCACTTCTAAATTAAGACTTTAAAACTGTATCATGAAGCAAATAAATTGTTTAAATTTGGACAACAATTACTGCACATAGCTTTGAAGCATTATGAAACATCCCTTTTATTGCCTTACCCTCATCTTGACCCACACTCTTCTCTCAGTCCCTATTCTTGTGAATAAAGATCCTTGCATGCAATTCCCCTTTGAAACTTACTGCTTTTAATCATCCTGGAGCGACATATCTTGCACCATCCAGTCAAGAGCTGAGCAACTTTCTTCCAAAGCACTCAGCCCTTTTTCAACAAAAAGACTCGGAAAATTGAGACCTAGGCCAGAAGATTGTGCTGGCCCAGAATGATTTCTGCCAAGCACACTGAGGACCTACACTCATCAGCCTCTATTCACAGAGATCAGTGCACTACTGTACAATTAATCTCATTTAAACAAAAAGACTTATAAAGTAAACTGCCATTCAGTATAATCAATATAAAGGGGAGACTGCATAAATGTTTCAGACCTAAAGTTATGTTTTTCCTTTCATAGTGTAATTGGACTCCCAGAGGAAGAGGACTGGCCTAATGACGTTGCCCTTCCAAGAAATGCTTTCACTTCCAGACCCGCACAACCTATTGAAAAATTTGTACCAGATATTGATGAACTGGGCAAAGACTTGCTTCTCGTGAGTTTCTATTTGTTGTTCTCCAAGCCACATGACAGTTCCCACTGTGCATGCAACATCCCAAGAAACATTTATGTTTCCATTTAATGGAGTTATTAAAGAAAAGCTCAAAAGTAGGTAGACAAATTCATGTAAATCTGTGAAACATCAGCACAAAGACACCACCTTTGGCTCAAGATGTGTCAGAGCTGAGAATAATTAGAGACTAGGAAACTGTGTCAAGGAAGTACCTGTTTGACCTGTCTTTAGACCTTATGCTTAGATCCTCATTACTGACCACTGTTGTGCCACTGATTCAGCCATTCTTATAGTATAAGCCTGATGTGAGTACAAAAACTGATCTACCATTTGTCATGGTATAGTGGACCCAGTATAAAGCAGAAAATAGGCTGTAGAGGCAGATTACATCTGCATACCTTCTATTGAATGCTGAAAACTTGAGATTTGAAATTCACCAATTGTTGCCTTTTACAAATGGCAGGATTGAACAGAAGCAAATTGTGCTGGTACAACTGGTAACACTGAATTCAATTAAATTATTTCCATCATTTTTTATAGATATGTTATAAACCCCAGCCCTGAAGTTCAGTCTTGGAATAGAATTTAAGGAATGGCCTTGTCTCAGTTTGCCTTTTGCCATGCTTGTTGAAATCTAGCTAAATTTGTTCTCTGGAAGCCTTTAAAAAATCTTGGTTCACATGGGCTCCATAGAGTGGGCTCAGTGCAACTCTTGAAAGACTTGCTGCATCCCTTCAGGAGCTGCTATCTCTGGCCAACGATATCGCTACAGAACAGCAAATCGTCCTCCATTGTCCTTATGACTGCAGCTCCCAGCTGTGGTAAGCTGGACTACATCTGGACGCTTGAAATGACAGGGGAGAAACGCATCTGTTGTGCTTGCAGGCAGCCTGGAAATGGAAGCTAGACGTGGGATAAGAATTAGATTCTGGGAACAAACAACAAGGAATAAAATATGGCAGAGAGCTCAGTGAGTGTGAGGCATGATGTGAGGGAGGAATAAGACAAATATCTATGCGAAGAAGGTGAGGTGGGAAGGGAAGCTGTTCCTGTGAGGCAAAGAGATGAGAACTGGGAGCCACAGGTTGAAGGGGAGAGTAGGACTGGAAGTCACTGAATTATATTTCAGAAGTTAAATGATAGGAATTCTGATACAAGAAAAGAAAGTAAAAGTAGGAAGTGGTTAGACAGGGATAGTAGGAAGAATACTATTTGGAGGTGAATGAAGAAAAAGAGAAGAACAAGGTATAAAACGCAAGGCTACGGGAGAGATTTCAGTGCTGGCTGGACAAAGGCTGGCATAAGGCTCTGGAAAGAAGGCAAACAAAGTACAACTAGGAAAAAGAGGGAGAAACTGAACACAAAAAATTAGCATACAAAGGCTATAAAGTTGAAGACCCAACACCTATAGAAATGCTGAGCCTAGGAATGAACATATACCTTATGATGCCGTCCATGTTTGTATAACCACAAAAGAACAGTGCATTGAACACTGAGGGGATTCAAAAGTTCTTGATGAATAGTTGCTCCCTGCAGTCTGTGAGACAGACATCCTGTGCACGTGAATTCAAGAAAAGCTGAATTCTGGGGTTTCCTAAACTATGAATACTTGGATTTTCTAACTTGTTATTTTCTATTAGCTTCGGGGATGCCATATTCATATACTATGACCCCACTGCTTGTTTTAATGTGGATGGTCATCTTATCGTGCAGCATGTAGTGAGACCCTGTTGTGTCTCATACTGATCATAAATTGAAGGTGGCATGCATTAATGTATATATGCAATGTTAGCAGTGTTAACTGTAACCAACTTCTTTTCATACCTACAGAAATGCTTAGCCTTCAATCCAGCCAAGAGAATATCTGCCTATGTTGCCCTCTCTCACCCATATTTCCATGATCTGGAGAAATGCAAGGAGAATCTGGACTCTCACATGTCATCCAGCCAAAACTCCAGTGAGGTGAATGCATCATAATGCTGACTGAAGATGAACCATAAATGAACAAGACATGTAGCTGACAAAGCCACTGTCCCATACAAACCACATAGCTGTTCCAGCAAAGATCATTATTTGGAGGTTTTATGCACTTATCTTTTATTTTGGGATTGTGATGTGCTTATCCAAGGAAATCCACCTAGTTTACTTTCATCAGAGCAACGCAAGGGCCAGGGCTTTGACCTGCTCCCATTGCAGCTTTATGTTTGTTTTGTTTTTGTTTTGTTTATTTACCTGGGAAAACTCCAGATGAAGAGAAGCTGCTGACCGGTTTTGCTGCCATTTTATCCTTTTAATATTGAATGCTGCCAGTGTGGAGTAGGATGATCGAGTCACTGCCAAAACATGATGCAATCTCTCTCTCTAGCTGCTGAAGCATGATTTGGTACTTTTTTATTATTATTATGTGATCTCTTACAGTGATATTTAAAGAACAGCATTGAAATATCATATCTCTGCAACCTGCAGTTAACTCATACATGCATTAATACATCCAGCTACTGTTCCTTCATAGCATATATGCAGGTGCTTCCCCACTTGAAAACTTGGATGGATCATTTTATCATTTAATTGCTCTATAAAAATAACAGTGATGATGGTGATCATAATAAATGTCTCAACTTTTAGTTTTTTTCATACACAAACGGGTTATTATCTAGCTACGTTTGTGTGCATGTTGCAAAAAACAAGTGTTTTAAAAATCTTCTAGAGTCCTGTTCTTAAAGACTCTTTCAGTTTCCAAATGGTCAGTTTGTGTTGAAATCCAGGTGCATTCTAGCCCATCATCTAACCCATCATTCCCCGCTGGAAACAGCTGCAAGCACATTTTCTTTGTCTCATTCCAAATTTTCTGATATGCAGCTCAAAGACATGAGCAGAGCCCAGTGAAAATCAATAGAGATTTTCGCCTTCAACCTGTTCTGATTATCAGCCAAAAAGGAAAATAGAAAAAATATTTCCAGTTCAGAAGCAGAGAATCCTATACCTGTAATAAGCCCAGATATGTATTTGTGCTGAACTGTATGCTGTATACTGCGCTGCCTTACCTGAAATAGCCCCCCATGCATCATAAGTGCATGAACATTACTGTCTCAAAACCCCTCCGATGTCATTTATTAAGCAGACTTGTTTTCTATGCAGAAATGCATGAGCTTCTCTCCTAAACCACCATGTGGGTATACTGGCACATGTTTCTCCACTAGGGTTAATGTGCCGTTATTGAATGTCAAAATAACTAAGCAATTCACATGCCTTTATAGCACAGTTATTTTAAATATTACATTAAATTTTTTATATTTAGTATTTTTACCTTAACTAAAATATATTTTCAGTATTTTAAAAAGAAGCTTTTATTTTTTTAATATTGTACTGGGAAAAAAGAAATATTTTAAATCCATAAAAGCTGTTCCCTAGCATGACTTTAGTGCATTTACCTGGATATGACTTGGGGGAAAATATTGGTCCAATGAGTTAGCCCTTACCATAAAACCATAAGTATATACTACTGCAGTATATATGATGATAAGTGAGGCAGCTAGCTTTGCTTGCTCCTGTGGTAGTCCCTTAGGCTTCTCTCTTCCTCATCTCTATTTCACCTTGTCTAGCTAGTGAGCCGTCATTGTATCTTCATTCACAGCACACTTGGCAGAAGCAGGTCCTTAGCAGTGAGTTGAGCAATATAATTTTTCCAGCTATGGCATGGGAACTAGTAGCCATCTCCCTGGCAGGTTTCTCAGTCCTGTGATAGACTGGTTGCTGTGGCAAACTTCACTGTTAACTCGGTTTCAGATTATCTGCACTGTCTGGGACAAAGTCCATTGCTAGGATAGTGAGTGGATCTTATCTGTCTCTTGGATAAAGCTTTTCATTAATGTTAGACACATAAGTATGCGACATATGGTTAAATTAGGTCTGTTTTAAATAAGCCAGATTTTAAAAGGACCACTTGCATGCATGCATGCAGTGGCCTGTGCTTTTCCTCATGCCCAGAATGATGCCTATGCAAAACCTACCAGCATGAACAGGCAAGTTGCAAATTAGGCCTGGCAAGAGCATGCACGAGGCATCTGCACACAGAGATACCACAGACGCATAACACAAGAATTTTGCAAGCTCTACGAGCAGCAAGCTCCTGAAGGCCAGGGAGCGGTCACAGCAGCTAACCCTCCAATCTTGGCCTTGCCTCTGTCATTCTCTCTGTTCCTACATCCAAGGGGAGCCGCGAACCCATTGCACTGGTGTTGTCCCAGCCCTGTTCCTCCATGGGTCAATGGACCTGAGTGTGAATATGTTTTAACATTCATAGAAAGGGATGGGCCAGAGTGACATTTCTGCTAACCATTTTTAAACACTAATTAGAGCAACAAACAGAGCCAAAATTCAGGAGAATCTTGTGACAGTAACAAATAGAAAAGTTTTCTCCACAGTTTACCACTTTTAAAAACATTCTTCATTTCACGTAGCGCCGAGCTATCATACATACTTTATCAGGGCATTCAGCTGGTGTGGCTTTCCAGCAGCTGTCAGGGAACTCTCCCAGAGCTCTCCAACAACTAACATAGGGTGAAAATGTAGGGGAGGAGAGGGTATTTTCAAATTAGGCTCAAAACTCTCAGATAGAGATGTGCATCTGTTCCGTGTTAGAGGAGCTTGTTGTATTAAGCTTAGCGAAGCAAAGGCTAGAAGAGAATATGATTGCCGGATGTAGGTACATTATTAGGGTAAAACAAAAAGGAGGGAGGAAAGCACTTGAAGCCAAAGGTTAGTGTTGGCCAAAACTAATGAGAATATGGAAATCACAAGGAAGTTAACTACTGGAGCAGTATTTCCCAATCAGTAGTATCAGAAGAAGAGCTCAGAGAGCAGCAGAGAAAAGCAGGGGCTGGCTTATGGAATTAGTAGCAGAGCTTCTGCAACGTGGTGCTGTATGTTGTCTAATATAGGATCAGGTTATAAATGGGAGTATTCAGGAGAACAGCTTGAGAAGGGCTGCATTAATGGTCACCTTCTGGAACATCCTTCCAGTGGGAATGGCAGGAACAAAAAAGAAATCTAAGTTCTGTCTTGGCAGGGTTAGGAAAACCATTTATCTAATGGGGTCCTTGTGGTAGCAAGGGCCTAGATTCAAAGGACCAACGACTTCAAATTATCTCCTTTTCAAAATCTCTTTAGGAAGAAATTCCATTTGACACACCATAGGCTTGCTCTTATTCCAGTCTTCCCTCCCAAACTGTGGGGCTTCACTTACACTAGTAAATGGAGAAAGCCTGTTCTCTGGCTGAGCAAAGTGCTGGCACTGGCTAAAATCATGCCAGGAATCATGCTCATAATTAGACAGTACAGACAACTCTGGGACTGTGCTCGAGCCCATGCCCTTGCTCTTTTAATTTTACTGGTATAGCTCTAGTATTTGAGTACCTTTACTCATTACTGCCATATGTGTAGGATGTAGGAATTGTATATCTGAAAAAGAAAGTGCTCCTTGACACGCATGTTCCAGACTGTGATGAAAACTCTTCATACACCCTTTAAAGGGTGTGTAAACACCCTTCAGAGTGCAATTCTTCTTAGCAATAACTATGCCTGTATGTGTTCTACAGGAGCAGTTCAACAGCAGCTAAAAAACACTGAATAACATAAAATATATTAAAAATAAGTATAGATGTTTAGCTCCTAGAGCACTCACAACCAGGCACTGTGCTTTTCTCAGCAGAGAACAGGGTGTTCTAAGTAATGGAAGGAGCAATTTCTGTCTCCCACCAACCTTTTTTTTATCACTGCTACATAATTCTGCAGGAAAAACAGACCCAATAGCCAAGGTAAAAGAACACCAAAGCCAGCTAGTGAAGTGCTAATTGCTGAACCATAGCAATACATCTGGAGCAGCCCTTTTCTCTCTCCACCCTGTCTCCATGCTCACTCTAGCTCTCCAGTTCTTCTCCTTCAGCTCCCCTACGGAAACAAGTTTCAGTGACACTCACAGGTGCTATTTCCAGCAAGATTCTTCCAAGTTATCAATAGCTACACAGCGTCAGTGTCCCTTACGTTCCTGTTACCAAGTGTTGCTTCTTTTAGTCCAGCAGCCCAGAACCGATGATTAAAAAAGAATCTCTTTGTGCACCTCCTGCTTACCCTTAGTTTTGCATACACCTATGTTACCTTCTGTGTGCCAAGTAAAATTCTAAAAATAGGATTTGTGCATATTTCTGTGTAGGCTGTGCCCACACTCCAGGTTTTTTCAGCCTATTAGTCCACAATGGTAAATGTTAGAGTGCCTTTCTCTGTTGCTTCTGTCCTAAAACACACCAAAAAATGGGGACATCATGTTTGCAAAATAATGAAATTTGGTGCTATGTGTACAGAGCCTTTTACGTAAAAGGAATCAGTAAGTTGTAGCATTTGAGCATATTCTGCAGGGGGGATGGTATATAGCATCATAACTCTTATGGGGTTTTTATGCTCGATGGTTGTTTTGGTGAATAAGAAGAAAATATTGTGCCATGCTACTTTTCACAGGTTCACTCACTGTCTTTGAGAAGCATGTTTTATTATACATATAATTCTCTCTGCTGTTAGGTATTAGGCCAACTTTAATATGGAAAATAAAGAGAAATATGCTGTTTTGGTCTTTTAGCCAACAAACTTGGAGCACTTATCTGACTCACAACTGAAAACACATCAGTTGTCAAATATGTATATGAATCATAAACCACACAGTTTGGCTTAAAAGGCCACATAAATTAATTATGTTCCATGTATAAGACACAGTTGACTAATGAGGAAGTTTATTCTAAAAGAACTCTGTTTTATAGAACCACTTCACTAGTATTTTTCATATACAGTAGTTTCAGGAATAGATTGATTTTTATATACAATGTGAATTAGAAGATACTAGGCTATTAGAGTGATTTTGTTGTGTTATGCTTGAAGCTTGAATTGATCACAAGCTTAGGAACCTAACATATTTATTTTATTGCTACAAAACTGCTTCTAAATATCAAGATCTTTTTTTGATGTTAACAGGATTTCACACTTCTCTTAATGTGCAAATGATTTTCTTGAAATTAGTATATTAGAAAAAACATTTTTCCAAACTGCAGTTGTGCAGGAAAATTTAAAAAATATATTTTTACTTTCACAGAGAATAATAACATGTTATATACTGAAATCTTCAGTGACTGACTGTTAATAAGCTATCACTTTTACTTCTTTTTGATTGCTAAGTATTGGAGTATACAGATTACTTTCCATGAAGAAAAAATTCAGAAACAATCTCTAGAAAAGTAAATGGGATTTTATATGTTTAACCTTCCAAGTTTCATTTTCATAGCCAGGTTTTTTTGTGCAAGTACAGTTCAGGTGTGCAAAAACATGACTACAATTTTAACAGTCTAAGAGGCTATACAACTCAAATACGAGTTTTATTTGTGAGCTATTTATTTTATTATGCATCTTTGTTTTGCAAATTGTTAGATAATGGTTGTAATATAATTCCAGTTCCAGACTCTCTAACCATCAAATTCGAGTAATTTATGTAAAACAGGAAGAAGCTTTCTCATCGATTTAAATGAACTAGGCCATTAAAAGAAGAAAGATGTGGACATATGAACTGACAAATATACTTTTGCCAAGTGTTATTTCTTCCCTTTAATTTGAAGCTTAGCAAGTATTGTGTACTGATATGC